TGATGTTGGAATATGTGGACGATGTTCATACCAATATAATTTAAAGTCCTTTTGTAAATTGATATTGTGTGATAAATAAATTTGGTCAGATGAGAATAAATTAAATTCAGTAAATTTTATCAGTTCATCAATTTCACCCCATATGTAAATTGTATTTTTTGTTTGAAAAAATGATTCGAATAGTTGTTGAATTAATGGAAAAGTTGAAACGTGTGGTCGTGGAAGATGATAAACTTCAATAACTAATATGTAGGAATTTAATTCATGTGTGATAATTTGTACTTGAATAAGTGCTGATTTATTGGGTTTTTTTTATACACTTACAGATTCTGTATCCATGATAAATAATGTAGATGAATTAATAATTTTAATTAATTGAGTTAATGTTTCTTCTGTTGTTCTATAATTAATGAAAATTAATTCATAGGGTGATGGTTCAAATGGTGGATAATTTGAAGCATAATAATGTTTCATAAGTTTTTTTTTCGATATGCTTGACGAATATTTCTTCGAGCTTGTCCAGTTATTGATTTTGGAATGTTGTTGTATTTCCATAATGTATCTTCGTATTCTTTTTGTGATAACATTACTACAATAGAAAAAGAAATGTTGTATATTAAATATCGATTCTTTCGAAAATGAATCTTAAAGTATTTAATAATCTATCTGGTTCTTATGAAAAATAGGAATCTAGTATATCAATCTCAATGGAGTACGAAATGTATTTCTTTTCGATTCCCAGTGACCAAATGAAAATCTAAATAAATGAATATTGAATATCCATAAACTGCATTTCGTATAATGAAATAATTAAATATAAAAATAATTTTCCAAATTGAATATAATAGCCCTTCAAAACCAGTGAATGGGGAAAAGTCGCACTCCCCGATCTTGCTATGCTAAATTATATTTAATTTGTTATTGCAATAATATATAATTATTCCATAGAATTTGACATATCATTTGTACTTCGGATCTCTTTAATAAAGAGGTCCTAAAATTAATGAATACGTTCAAAAATTGGGAGTAACACATCAGTTGTAACTTGACGATGTAATGTTGGTTTCTTGATGTGTTGTACAATAAATGCTTTTGGTGTAAGGTTTTTCATAGTTCTGAATGGTCCTTCATAACGAACATTGAATTTTGAATGAATGTTGAGTGTTTTAACGAGAACGAGATCACCAACATTGCATGATGGATCAGAACGATTTGTATCATAACGTTGTTTATATCGCTGTTGATTTTTAATAATATTAATTCTTGCTTGCTCATTTAATTTTGTTAAAAATTGATGAAGTTTTTTCACGTGTTCATTATCATGTGAAATTGTAACATTGTCTTCTTGATAATCAAATAGTAATATTGGTGTTCGACCATACATCATTTCAAATGGAATTTGTTTGGTTGAGGAATGTATCGACGTATTGTAATTAAATGTTACAAATGGTAATTGATCATCCCAATCTGTTTTTTGTATATTGGATAAAGCTGCAATTTTTGCATCCATTGTTGAATTATATCTTTCAATTTGACCATTTGATTGTGGATGATATGGTGTTGTATATAAATGTGTTGATCCAATTTGTTTGATTAATTCATTCATAAGTGCTGATGTAAAATGAGTGCCATTGTCGGTCAAAATGCATCGAGGTGTACCAAATTTTGAAATGACATCTTCTTTCAGAAATTTAACAACTGTTTGTGCAGTATTATCACGTACTGCTTTTGCTACCACAAATTTTGATAAAATATTCGTAAGACATACAATATATTTGTTTTCACGACGAGATGTTGGGTTAATAGGACCGTGAAAATCCATCGACACTAATTGCCATACCTCTTCTGGAGGTTTAATTGGTTGTAATTTTCCAGGAGTCTTTTGTCGACGAGGGTTATGTTGAGCACAAGTAATACATGATTTGACGTAATTATTAATATCTTTGTACATTGAAGGTCAGAAATAACGTGTTTTAATTTTGTGTATTGTTTTATCCCTGCCGAAATGAGCACCATTTGCTGCAGTATCATGATAAATTTTTAATATTGTTCGACGAAGTTCACCTTGTGGTACATAGGGAACGGGAGGATTTAACCGACGCATTAAAAGATTGTCTTTGATCATATAATTTTTATATTTCTTGATGTTATTAATAATATTTTTTGCATAGCTATCATTCCTTTGAGCTTGAATTAATTCTTCAATTGAGTATGAAGTTGTGCGATTCTCTGCAATGGAATTATTTAGAGAATCTGATGTTAATTTTGTTGTATCTGAAATATCTTTAAATGTTTTATTTCGTAATTTCATAGCACGAGTCTCAACAGCTGCGATGATGGTTGTATTTGGGTTATCATATAAAATATCAGTTTGTGTTGATGTTGAAATAAGATGTGCAGTTTCATCAGAATCTTCTTCAGCATCATCAACGGGGGATCTTGATAAATAATCAGGCATATAATTTGCTAAACCTGGGATGTGTTTCACCTTGAAATCATATTCTAAAATTTTTAATCTCCATCTTTCACAACGTTTGTTAAGTTGTGCTTTTTGATTTAGTTGTGTTAATGCTTTATGATCTGTTTCCCATGTAAATTTAATTTCACTTAAATAATTATGCCATTTATCTAATGCACATATAAAGGCATAACATTCTTGTTCCATAGGAGACCATTTCCGTTGTGCTGGTGTAAGTTTCTTTGAAAGATATGCAATTGGTCTATCGCCATCTGGATAAATTTGTAATAGTACCGCACCGATTCCCTCATCAGATGCATCAGTTTGAACTTTGAAAGGGAATCTATTATTTGGAAGTCGTAATACCAGATCAGTTGCAAGAAAATTTTTAAGTTGTTCGAAGGCTTTAATTTCTTCATTTGTTAATGTAATGATAGTTTTTTGCCCTTTCTTTTGTTGAGTTCTTGTAGTTGAAACAAATTTTCTAAGTGGTTCGGCGATTTGAGAAACATTTAGTATAAATTTTCTATAATATTCAGCTGCTTTAACAAATTTACAAGCTTCATCTGCAGTTTGTGGTAATCTTGTAATTAATAAACCATTAATATTATGAGGACTTGGACGGATTTCATCATTTTTAATGTTATGGCCAAGATAATCTGTTTGTGTTCGAGCAATTTCACATTTTTCTGGATTGAGACGAAAACGAGCTTTTTTTAATATTTGACAAATTTCATTCAGACGAGATAAATGTTCTTGAAATGTTTTGGAGTAAATAATTACATCATCAATATATGCTAATACATATTTCCATCTTGCTGGTCCTAATATGTGATTAATTACACGTTGGAATGTTGCTGGTCCATTTGTAATACCTCGAGGAAGTATAGTAAATTGATAATTGTGCCGATATATGCGTCACGGCTCGCTGCTCTTCTTCTTCCCTCTTTCCTCTTTCTCTCTCTATTGTTCTCTCTGTGTCGTCTCTCTCCCATTGTTTCTGTATCATATATAAGTGTGTGTTGAATGTGCAATAGACACATTCTGGAGATGTGAAGTAGCTAATAAACATCATTATCGAGGGTGGCGGTAAGCTACTCCTCCAGTCTGTCATTACATCATCTTCTCTCCTTTTATCGTTACATGTCGACCCTGGCGAGCGAATACATGCATATTCTGAAACGAAGTTGGAAGATTCCAGAATCAAGAAGAATTCAAAATTATCAAACTTCCATTGAAGGTACAAGTGAATATCAAGGTATGATAAATAATTTGAATGAGTGATGAATGCATGCGGCGATTAGAGTTGAATGACATGGCAGTGTTTTAAGTCTGTGGGGCACTGTCACAGACCATCAGTGGACGTACTAAAGGGCGGCTAGATCGCGGGCCGGCAGTGCGTAGGGTTGGTGCACTTTCCTTTGTAATATCTGTACGTTTCATGTCATTTCTCCTCGAATCCCTGAGTCATTTCTCACGTAATTCAAATTTATTTTCTCTGCCAAAACAAAATAAAAAAAAGAAGCAGCAACAGAACAAATGGATATCGATGAACATGAAATTGATTGTGTATCAGCTGTAAACAATTGATATTCATTCATCATCAATATTCACTTCGTGTTGTCAATCACCACCAACAGTTATTCAGCTGAACATCTTGCTAACTAACGATGCGTAACAATCAAATATTAGAAGAAACATAAAATTAAATGAAGATGTTATCCTTAAAAGGCCTGAAGCCAGTGAAGAATTTAAAACGAAAGTAATTATAGTGATGATACTGATTAGAAAGTGTGAATTTTTTTTTTCTCTCTTCTTCTCCGGCAAAACATAAATAGAAGATGGGTTAAATGATAATCTTTTATGTTCGATCATGTAGATAATCGAAATATGATGCGATATTTTTCTATAAGCTATGTGTTCGTTTTTGTAATAATCTAGTAAGTAAGACAAAACAAGAAACCGTTCTAGGTATCGTTTATGCACTAGACAAGAGTTTCTATCCTGTATGAATTAGAATATTTATGTCTACTTATGGTTAAAATTATACTAAGCTTGTGTAACCGATGACTTGTGTTTTTTTTCTCGTTCTCTAAAATTGATATGTGTTGTTGTTCGACATTGCGTCCTACGAATGTGAAAATGTGCGAAAAAGTGTGACCGATCATATGCGTGTTATGAATTCTATATTTCTATATTGTTTCATTTCTGTGTGCTCTGTCAAAATTTTTTTTTGTGTGATGATTGAAGCTGTGACGATCATTATTTGTATGCTGTGTTCGTGTTGACTGATCTTCTATTTATATTTGAAAGGTGTTGCCGAATTTATGAGTTTGAAATGTGATGATCACTCCTTTAAAAAGCTTGTTCCTCTTTTTCTTGACTGCTCTGTTCGTGATTAGATGCTATGATACTGTGAAGACGTGTGTTGATATGAAGTTATGTATGAAAGTCGATATTGTCGTTCGTGTATGACTGTATTTTCTACGATGAAGTTCAATCAATGAACTTGTTTTGATGTATTCTTTCTTTCATCTAATTCTTTTTTATCGTTTCTGTTTTTCTTTTCTAAATTGTAAAGACGCTCAGGAGCGCGTCTCATCTGAGTGGGAGGGTGTGCCGATATATGCGTCACGGCTCGCTGCTCTTCTTCTTCCCTCTT